ATCTGATATCATGGGAATTCCTTATACTGTATCATATTAATGTGCTCAATATGTGCACTTATTTCAAAAACACCTTGTATATACACTGTATTCTAAGCTCAGATTGGGATATGAACAACATTCTCTGTTTTTATCTCTTGGAGCGCACGAAAATGTATCCCAATGATATTCGAAGAACATCTTGCGTATATAGATAGGGAAGATAGGGAGAGGATATAGGTAGCTTTTGAAAATTTTTTGTCAATTATAAAAACATAATATCCATATTGTTCGAATATCAACGAGTATCACAAAAAAATATGAGGAATTTCGAGGAGTTTCCGAGGAATTGGGAGAAATTACGAGGAATTTTGAGGAATAGCAAGAAAGGGCGTGTACACCTTAGTAGAACTTTTAACTCAAACCATGTTTATAATGATCCTTTCATACATAAATAATGATTGACGACATAATTCGTTCGAAAAATTAACTGCAATGTTTTGTTTTTGGACATGAATAATAGTACCATCTGAAAACGGACCCTCTTATGACGTAGAAACCTCATCTCACCATAGTTAAAAGAAAATACCAAACGCCCGACGGAGACTGAGGCAACTGATATATTAATTCTTTCAAATGTGATCTCGCGCCAATTCCCTCTGCCAGAAATCATGTATCATTCATATCTGTCTGGAATGATCTTGTTTCAGTGTTAGGGTTTTGACGTCACATCATCGCCTCGTTTTCAGAGGTTCGAAAAATCGATGATTTCAATAATTTTTTATAAAACGTAGGGAGCTCACAGCGAGAAACGGTTTGCGGTGGTGAGCTAGTTTGGGTGAGTTCTATCGAATTATGAAATAAAATTTTTTCGTGATATAAGCCCATTGTGGGGAATTGTGAGGCATTACGAGGAATTACGAGGTATCACTAGTCAATATATTGAATTATGAGGCATTATTTTGGCATTGAGGAATTAGTGTACACTAGGGTCCCTTGATGGAAATTGACGTTAAAGTCATCTTAACAGGGTACGGACAGATCCTCGTCTCCTCTCACTCTAAAGTGTTTGTGAAACAGTTATATAGTTCCATCCTTATTCAATTCTGGGGATAAACACTAGATTTTTGACATTCGTTGCTTTTCAGGTTATATTGAGGTCACTGGCGTATCATAAGTAATTTCCATATGGAATTCCTGATTCAACTATACCAAGATATAGATGAACAATCCTCTAGTTTTAGAGTTTACTACTCCAGCATAATCTTTGCGAGGTAGGTAACATATAAATTGTACTGAAAGCTTGATATATTTCACCAAGAGAAACTGTTCTTAGACTGTATTTATACCAGGGTTGACGGAATTGACTGAATGAATTCTGATTTCAAGCTGAGCAGAGGTTTATCTATGAGCTGAATGAGCTGAGCCTCGTGATTGAGAAATTGTGGAAACCTCGATGTGAATATATTTTCGGAAATCCAACTCGGAGAATAATTTATGGATTGACTAATATCACACGATGTATAAAACTTCGTCCGGGACGAAAAATTGGCTGATGAAAAGTGATACGTTAGGTAGGTAAATGTGCAGGAAAATAAAGAATAAAATATACTATACCACAATGTTATACATATCATTTTTCCGTCTCCCTGCTCGAATAAAAAGTCATTTTCGAATAATTCATTGATGAAAAGTTACATAGAAGTAGGTATACGCAGTATAACTTATTGGCACGTTATTTTCACTCTTGCATCCTACATATTTTCTATTTGTGGTAGAGTAATAATTATATAAGCCGTCATCTTGAATTTTCAAATTTTGACGAAACAATCATTATCTTCTACCCTGAAAACCCAAAGATACCAATTTTGAATAGAATCGGATCTTCATTACAAAACTCATCCACCATATTGGATCCGTCATCTTGAATATCCCAATTTCAACGAAATAATTATAATCTCTGACCCCGGATATCCCCAGATATCAATTTTGATTTTTGAATAGAATCGTATCACAATTACAAAATTCGTTTGCCATATTGTATCCGTCATCTTGAATTTCCCAATTTTGACAAAAAATCATGAAGTTCGACCCCGAAAACCCTCAGATACCAATCCTGAATTGAATTATATCATAATTAGAAATTTCTTCCTCTATATATTGGATCCGTCATCTTGAATATCCAAGTTTGACGAAACAATCATTATCTCCAACCACGGAAAACTCCAGACACCTTCCAATTTTGAATAGAATCGGATCATAATTACAAAACCCGATCCCCATATGATCTTCCCCAACAAGTGAATACCCTGTACATACTTATTATTAAAATTTTGAATGATTTTCTGTAGCGCCCATGTGACAGCAATGTCAGGGATGCCAGTAGACAAAACTAAAGTCTCTAGATCATTAAAAAAGAATGCAGCTATGATCTGTCCGTACTTGGTCCGTACCCTGTTAAGATGACTTTAACGTCAATTTCCATCAAGGGACCCTAGTGTACACGTTTCCACTCAGCGAAATGCCCCTCGACATAACCCAAATTGACACTAGTGGCTAGAGACACAACGCATCAAATATTGTGAGCGATTCCGGCCACTGCCGAGACGAATGGAGACGAGACGTGCGACAATATTTAACGCGTCCTGTCTCTAGTTATTTGTCAATTACTATTGATATCAATCGATATATAGTCACGTATCGTTAGTTGCATAACAGACTGCAAATGAAAATATGACATGGAAATGTTCTTTTATTCGTGAAATAATGAGTGAAATAATCTTAACGAACACAACTCGTTTCATTGATGATTATCAAAAATTACTACTCCTTTTCGAAACATAGTATGTTGCTTTTAGGCAACCACACTCGCGCTATTCGCTCGTGTAATAGCCACGCAATATAATTTGTTCCTCATAATCGAAAAGAATTGTATTTCGATGATCATCAATACATTTGTTTAATTACATAAGAAAACTACACTAAACTATCCCAGTCAACACACGGCTACTATAGATATCTGGTGCATATTTTATTAACGGAAAGAAGCTGGACCTTCGTAAGGGATATTCAAATGATTTCTTTCAGGTATATACTTGAGTTATTATTCACAGATATCCATAAGATGTTGATTAAGTATATTCATTCACAAGATATCCTCAGGGATGTCCACATGACATTGTTATCCATGAGATATCTCTTAGGAATAACAATGGGATATTGAAGAATATCATCGATAGTTTCATCATATCAGAGGAATAAAACAAAGAGGGTGAAATAACAGATGTATCAAAACATTGAAAAATATATAGGTCGCGTGCACGATGACCGGCCCTGGAGGCAAAATATTGAAACACAACCTCACTCTTCTGTGAATTATTGTAACAAAACCTCACTTTTTTATTTGTTCACAGAGGAATCACAAAGGATTGAAATAGTTTTTCACAATATTTTGGCATACGAATCATGTTTTTTTGCGCTATTCATTATTTCAAGCATGCCTTCACATTGTGCTGTTATACAATGCAGCGAAAGACGAAGGAATATGATTTTTCAGGTAAATAGTAATCTCACATAGTCATCATTATGAAATGTTAATGTCATTCCTTATGAAAATTCCTTCTGCCTTCTGCCACTTCTGCAATACAAGCTAATACTGCTAATAGATTGAAAATGTCTACAACAAACAAGATCATATTTCGTCAGCATGTCAGACCAGTTTTCCCGATTGATTGCATGAATCCAATCTTCTCGCATTATTTCAGAAATTTCACGTGTATTTCTATTAGCTCCTATTGCAGAAGGAATTCCGATGAGAAATCAGAGAAATTTCCAAATATCAAAAATGACAACAATATGTGAGTGACTATAGTAGGTAGGTACTTACTTTCAAATCATAATGTACCAACCGGATTCCTTCGTCTTCCACTGCAGTATTTGTGCATTGTACAACAGCACAATGTGATGGCATGAGCGAATTGATAAATAGCCAAAAAATACGAATTGTATGCTGAAATAATTGTGAAAAACTATTTCAATCACATGTAAACAAATGAGAAAAGTGAGGTTGTGTTTCAATGTTGTGCCTCCATCAGGGTCGGTCATCTGACAGTTCTTGTACGCAACCCATGGACTGAAATGATAAATTGTTTTATTCGGTTCAAAAGTGGCACTTTGTTTGACAAGCGAATTTTGCATTTGTGAGGCGGAACGTCTAGCAAAGCCAAGCGAAAGCAAACTTTTCGAGTCAAACAAAGTTACTGCAACTGAAAGAGTTGATTAACTAAAATGAATATGTGAAGTTATCACCAATTTGACTTACTCGACAGATTATTATAATCCCTTTATTGATATAATATAGGTAAAAGATAGAAGCAAGATGTCAGACTACTTCACATTGAAATATTGATGGACGATGACTTTACTTTGTTACAATTCAATACTATACCCGAAACGTGGATGCCGTGTCATAGGTTTGCAATGTAACATATAATGTGGTGAGAATATTCTACCTGCATTTACAGATCAGGTTTATTCAATTACCAAGAATATTTGAATTGTAGTTTCAATATAAATACAACCACAGAGTGACCCGTGTACATTCCATTGAATCGATGAATCGATGAATTCATTTGGACACTTGCCCTAATAGCAAATACAGCGCCAGTGCCAGGTATACGAAAAAGAAGTGGAAAATGTTAGGTTAGTGAGCATAAATACAAAAAACTAGCAATAATAACGACGAAATGCAATTGAACTCACTGTCTCAATCTTGTTACACCAACTTTGTGGTAGGATACAATACCCCAAACAACTTACGAGAGTTATAACTCCATCCCTGTTATTACAGTGATAAACTGCTCATTACAATATGAGATATCATGAAAGGAACAAATATTGCTCACTTTGAAACAATAGACGAACTTACCAGATATTGGTAACTGTATTCACTACCAACCTCTGGGGTATATACCCCACCACACAGACGAAGGGTTAATACTGTCAATTTCTTTCGCCAGCAGGACTGGCAGGCCACAGCGGTCCTGGTCCTGATGACGGCTACGCTGCCTACGACGGCAGTTACGGAGGATATGCTGCAGGCCTCGGCGGCCACGCCGGAGGCTACGGGGGCTACGGTGGCGGCCTGGGTCTCGCTCACGGCGTAACCGTCACCAACGGAGGCGGCACCATCGGCGTGAGTCCCCACGGGGTGGCCGTGAGAGGCCCCCCGACCGTGCCTGCCACCATCGCGGGGCCGGCCGGGAAAGTGGTGGCCGAGGGGCTTTATGGCGTCCCCACGCACGGCCACGGGTGGTGAGAGACTGGGATGATGGTACAGGATGATCCATGATGATGTTGGTTGATATGGAGAAAGTTTGTTTATTTGATAAAAGTTGGATATTTTTTCTGAAGAACACAAAATGCCACCGATCCACATGGTATCGCGATTTTAATAAAGCGATTAACCACATCAAATATAACTACTATGTGTGTACCAAATTTCTTGATTTCAATATTTGAATTTACCAACGTCATTGCTAGGCAGATTCTTTATGGATTTTCAGATTGAAATGATTCAGGAAATTCCATAGAATCATTATAGTTATCGATTCGCAATGGCTAAAGAATTACATAACACATGCTGGTCCAGTGGCATGAGGCATTTTCTGAGAGACGATTGAATATATAATTTTCCATGGCAACGTATAACTTATAGCTGATGAGTTATGAGAGTTGATTCCTCGTTAACAGATAGCCTTATGCAACTGGCCCTTAGAATTTCCAATAAACTGCCATTAAACTAAGTTCAAAGCAACTTTCGATCGTTTACTTCAAAATTATTCATTGATTGTTTATCATTTCTAGAATTCACATGTGTTAGTTCTTGCATTGCCAGTGTAAAGTTCTTTGCGTTTGATTCATAAAAAGAAATTGAATTACTGGTGATAATTTCGTGATTTCGAAAGTGACGTAGTATTATTATACCATGATAACAGGCTTTTATATACTCATTTATGTATTATGTACTCTCATTTATTATATATAGTTTTTATATTGTTACCTTATTCAACTGCCCAAATTGGTATGAGCAATGATTATTTTTTCTATCTATGATAAAATGTATCCAAACTAAGAGCTCTTGTTTCATTTCATATTCATCCAGGATCTCCGAATAGAAACAGTTATTTTTTTGGACGAGAAAAAAATCTAAATTCATATTTTGTATTACAATAACACTGAATTTGAGTCGTGGGAATCGAATATGCAAGAAAATCTGAAATTATCAGGTGACCACATGAACGGTGCCAAACTTATTGCTTTCAAGTATTCCAATATACAATATTGATCTTTCGATAGATGAAATGTTGTTGATTTGGCATTGATACAGGGCAACAGTAGCTGGGCTGTCTAAAGCGTACAGACCACTTCAAGCCCGCTAGGTAGGTATAATCACAGTTTAGTCCATAAACTGTGGTATTTAATAAATATTCGTTCACGATGTCAGAAGGGCTCTGTTATCAAACAGCGCTAGACAAAATAGCGAGCGACAAAATAGCGCGGAACAAATAGCGCGTGACAAAATAGCGCCAATAGAAAACAGCGCCGCGACATAATAGCGCCGACTGAAATAGCGTGTTTGTGTTAATGGTGGCGTACTGATAATGGAAGCGCACTTCATAGAAAAGTAAAATCAGTAGTGAATAATAAACTTGCTCAACTTTATTCAAATCCAAAAAACTCTATTAACATCGACTAGTAACCTAACTACAAAGATAAATTGTACGCAATACAACGTAAAAAGTTTATAACACTACCAAATCTTTATTGGGCAACCAGTACTTGTAATATCTTTCTCAATTGAAAATATTTGCAATTGGATTTTTCGTTTGCCCTATATCCTGCGCGGTACCTCGTGATGAATATTTCGAAGTGGCTCTGTTCCTTCCTGATTTTGTCGAATAACTTGGAATGCGAAGGATGGTGACATTGAAGAGTTTTTTGAAATGAATCATGCCATGCTTCCACCGAATTGTTGCTCCTAAGTAAGTCAGTGTTGATTCTCTCGTATAGGTTCCACATCTCAATCGGAAATCTTGGGGGTATATCATGTAGTTGCATGATAGATGCAAACTGGACGTCTTGTTCTGGAACATAACTCAAGGCTAAAAGCATTTTACATTGGATCCTTATTTCCTCATCATCTTTGTATAGCTTTGTTAATTGATCATATTGGATATGCTTCCATAGATTTTGTGCAAAATGAAATTTGCAGCCTACTATTTTGGTATCAGGAAATTGACTATTTATTGTGTTGAGAACCGCATTCTCGAAGTCACAGATTACACTAGTTGGTTTCAACGTTGGATCTATCTCTAGTAGTTTTCCGAAAAGTCTCTCATAACTTGATTGTTGTTTGTTAGGCAGCAAAGTATATATTAGAGGAATAGCTTTTCCGTCTATCATGGAGTGAATAGTGAATAACTGGCAAAAATATTTCGGTGCTACACTGAAAGTGCCATCAAAACACCAGTTTCTAAATTCACTCAAAAGGAAGATATTTCCATAAGTAGCGAAAACAATAATTCTGTTCACATCTTCTGTTCCTGAATCCCACAACAGAAACTCTTCACCTTTCTCTGTTCGTTTATATTTCTCTTCAATCGTTACATCACGAATGCTGTTGCATGCACTGTTAACCAAAAGCTCCTTGTTTCTCACTCTTTGAATTGTTTTTCTCGCAGCATCATAATTTGGTAATAGTACTGATGCTTCCATCGATACTTGGCTAGTGCTGGCTTGTAAAATTTTCCTCGGACCATCTTCCGTCGTCCTTGCCATGTTCTTAACATTTTCCATAATTCCAAACACTTCGTTTTTAACATCATTCGGACCATGACTATGGGACGTTGTCGGTTTTTTGGAGTCGCCGCAAACTATCAATCTACCTTTACAATATTTCTCCGTACATCTCCAGGTAGTGGAAGTGAGATGCAATTTGTCTTTTCTGTATCTGTATCCTTCATGGATAGAAATAGCACCTCCTTTTTTTGAACGAGAAAGATTCATCGTGACGTGACAATTCGTTCTGACGTTTTGGGCGCTATTTTATCGCATTCCCAAAAGTCTGGGCGCTGTTTGAAACCACGCGATTTTGACCCTCTGAGAAATGTCCTAGTGCTTTTTTGTCCCACGCTATTTTGTCGAGCACCATTTTGTCTAGCGCTGTTTGATAACAGAGCCTGTCAGCAGTGCTGACGGTTCAAAAAAAGTGTGGTTAGTGGTTCCAATCCTGATGGCAGCATCTCGTCTAGATGTGCTCTCCTAATCCACAATAAGCTGTAGGTACCAACAAGGTGGAAATTGTCATTGATTGAGAAATGCACAATCAGCTAATCATCATCAAGAACAGAAATTTCACTGGAATCTAATTAAAATTGTGCACATAATTTCTCGAACACTCTCCAAACTTCTGAGACATTTTGTATCGGGGGCGGCACCATTGGCGTGAATCCCCACGGGGTGGCCGAGAAGGCCCCCACGCCCGGCCACGGGTGGTGAGAGACTGGGATGATGGTACAGGACGATCTGGGATGACGTTCGTGGTTTTATGGGGGTGATATGGAGAACGTTTTTTTTTCACCGCTAGCAATAAGCCCACCATTATTCACTCTTTTTCGAGGCGTAATAGTACATTATACATCAAGGGACAGAAATGCAAGATTTTTTCCGCTTCGAGGGCGAAGCCCGAGAGATTCAAAGCACCGAGGGAAACATAGCACTCTGTCCAGAGGTGTATATACTATTTTTTACGCTGGTAAAAACACAAAAATTGAGAAAGAATAAAAATGTGGTCAAATGTTTTGTCATAATCAGTATTAGTATAGTTTGTTTACATTGAACTGCTTTGAAACACTCATGCAACTGGGAAAGGGCAACAAAGTCACACTTATGTGGGTTCCAGGGCATGAAGGAATCAAAGGAAATGAGGCAGCTGATCGCCTTGCAAAAAAAGGTGCAGCATCTGCACTTTTTGGTCCTGAGCCTTTTTGTGGAATAAGCAAATGTCACCTAAAGGGAGAACTCGGGAAATGGGAAGAAATTGAAAAGTCGTCCTACTGGAGAGCAACTCCAGGTCAACGACAAGCGGAAAGGTTCATCAACCATTCGCAGAACCGATCCAAAGAGCTACTCAGCCTCAGCAAACCAGAGCTAAAGCTTATCACAGGCTTTCTCACAGGACACGGTACCACCTCAAAAAGATGGGTCTGGCGGAGACTGACACTTGCCGCTTTTGTAACAATGCGACCGAAACCGCGGAACACATACTTTGCTCATGTGAAGTATTAGTCCGCCAAAGGCTGAACCACCTAGAATAGGTCTATCTCACCCCTGCTGAAGTGGAAAAGTCAACCGTCAGGAAAATCGTAGGCTTCATCAGAAGTCTAGGGTTGGAGGACCAAAACTAGATAGGGGTAGTCACAATAGATCTTCTAGGTCGCAGTGATCGAGAGGTCTCCCAGCCTATACGACCCATCTACAATCCACAGTATAGTTTGTGGAATTCGTATCTTGATAACATGCATCTTGTTGACAACTCATGGTGACAGCAAACATCAAACTGAAATTTATGAAAATAGCTTTGAAAATGGTTAACGGTTATGGAACAAGAAATCGAGGGAAAACCCTAAGAAACTATTGATACCTACTGCTTCAGCAGTGATTCTTAACTTGCTACCAGTAAGATCTAGAAATCTGTATGATGCAGCTTATACTCGCTTCAGAGAAGAAAGCGCAGAGCTGTGCAGGAAATGTAATTGGTATAAACTCCCTACGGAGAAAATATGTCACACTATCTCCCTAGGGATTAAAACGAGACTTCTGCCTCCCTTCTGTTACCTGAAAATCTAACTTCTACTCCCGCCGGCGTAAAGAGTGTGTTTTAAATACCAATATAGTTCTCGTCATTTTATGAACCCCTAGTCAATAAAGTCATAGCCACCTCTGTTGTAATTCACCTGAATTCACTGTTCTGATGCGATATTCGCTGGAATGGCACTCGAATCTAGTAGGTATTTCACAATAACGACTTGTCATATGTTGTGATGGCCATGACTACTAGATTTTAATTGGAATTTAGGAGAAGTGATTTCAGAGTGACAATACGTCCATATTTCAGTTTCACAGAACTATAATGATTGAAATGTATTGCTACTGGTGGAGAAAATATAATATACACCTTGATAGTAAAGAATATTATTACCACGGGACCTTATACCCCTCGGTTGGAGCCTTGGGGTATAATCTTGGTCCTTGGGCGATACTGATGTTCTTCACTACCTTGGTGTATAAATTACTATTATTGATTATGAGTTAAAAATGTATTCTGAAGAACGTAAAATGCAACCGATTCACATGGTATCACGTTTTCAATGAAGCAATCAACCACATCGAATAACTACTATGTATGTATCGAATTCCTTGATTTCAATATGAATACAGGGTGTTTTAGAGTTGTGGTGACAAAAGCCTAGGGGAAATTCCTCTCAATAAAATATGAAAAAAAGGTAATAAGTTTCTAATATATCCTAAAAACGCTCCAGCCGATTTGAATGTCATTTTCATCGTTGACTAACACAATCTTCAGACATTTACTGGATAAATAAGGTTTGATATACAGAATTTCCAGGGGCGCACTCATCGAGCAAGCCAGTTTTCATTTGTAGGATAAAGTCACTCTGTGTTCTTTTTCGGGTTCCTCTTCAATATTCAGATGAACCCACTAAGAATACTACATTTCTGTATTCTGCTATTTTTTCGTATCTTGCTTCCGAAAAACGGACAATACTATACAACTGCATATTATATCTCGCATATCTCTGCACTCAAGATGGACTGGGCTATTTACATTTTCATGTGAAGTCACACAAAGGAACAGTCTAACCACCGAATCGCTAATTTGATGTTGTCATATTATTCTTGCTGTGTGTCAAACTTGAGGACAATTTCCGTTTTTTACTACATTTAATACGTACATGGGACATATAATTCATTGCATTACTCATGAACAACCGAGTGAATAACCAAAAACCACTCAGTTAGTATAAACTATTTCTCAAGTTGAAAAAGTCGCGA